GGTACAGTGGACCCTTGACTTACAGACGGCTTGACTTACAGACTTTTTGAGTTACAGACTTCTCTGGCCGCAAAATTTAGGTTTGACTTGCAGACTGAGATTTGACTTACAGACCAGAAAAAAACCAAAATGGAACAAAAACGGCCTGTTACGGGATTAATCGGTTTTCAATGCACTGTAGGTCAATGGAGACTTGACTTACAGACTTTTTGACTTGAGAACCGCCTTCCAATACGGATTAAGTTCTCAAGTCAAGACCCCACTGTAATAATAATAATTATAATAATAGTGTCTGCCAAATTGATTCCAACTAATGGTGACCCTTCCTAGGGTTTTCTAAACAGGTAATACCCAATTGTTGTAAGCCGCCCAGAGACCTTTGGGTAGAGTGGGCGGCATATCAATTAAATAAATAAATAAAATAAATAAGTGGTTTACAACAAATTCTACTCCATAAGAGTCAGTTTTCCACACATGGAGTTTAAACTTCATATACATTGAAGCATGATTGCATTAAAGGGATTTATTTATTCGTTTGTTTGTTTGTTTGTTTATTTAAATGATTTTTATCCCACACCTCTCCTTAAAAAGGACCCAAGGAGGCTTACATAAACATTTATTACATTACATAAACAACACACATAAACATTCTGTGTTCCTGTTGAAATTTGGAAACACTTGGAAGTGTTGGAAAAATCAATGGCCTGGCATCAGTAACAATAACAGCAACTGTAAAATGTAACAATAAAAGATCAATCATTACTGTAATAAAATAAAATAATGCTAAACAGATTCCCTCATTTTCAGATTAACTACCCACTGGAGCATGATTAGCAATAAGATCAGTCATCGTGGGGAAGACCATCATTGGCTCAACTGCATGCAGGGAGGAGATCCAAGATTTCCATTTCCAGGCGAAAGCTTAAGAAAAATGATTGGTAAAATTAGAGCTTTCTTCTGAGGATGAAGGAGTGATTTTTCTGATCATAATTCCTGGGGGCAGAAGGGTTAAAGATTTACTTACAGCATAATGTGGTGCTGATCCTAATCTCTCGCTGACAAACGCTACCTACACTGTAAGTGTAGCACAGGGATAGATCAAAATATATTAACTTTACATTAAAACTTTCATTTTTCACTCCAAAGTTTCTTTCTGCTCCATAACTTTCTCATGGCATTCTTCACTTCTTCATTCCTCAGAGTGTAAATTAAAGGGTTGAGCATGGGAGTGATAATGGTGTAGAACACAGACACACTCTTGTCTTCTGAGAAGGTGATGGAAGGCCTCAAGTAGATGAAGATGCATGGCCCAAAAAACAGGATCACTGCCATAATGTGGGAGGCACAGGTGGAGAGAGCTTTCAGGCGTCCCTCGGATGAACGAGTCCTCAGTGTGACTAAGATCACAATGTAAGGCACAGTCAACACCAGAAAGCAACTCAGAGAAATCATGCCACTGTTGGCAATGACAATGAGTCCAACAATGTATGTATTGGTACAGGCCAATTTCAGTAAAGGGTGGACGTCACAGAAATAGTGGTCTATCTCATTGGGACCACAGAAGGGAAGATGCACAGTCAGGAGAGTCTGAACCATGGAATGCACAAAGCCTCCAAGCCATGACAGGCCAACCATCCACCTACATATACTCTTGCTGATAATGGTTGTGTAATGGAGGGGTTTGGAGATGACAATGTACCGATCATATGCCATCACTGTGAGAAGGAATATTTCAGTGCAGCCAAAAAAATGGACACCAAAGAGCTGTGTCATGCATTCAACATAAGATACGGTTTTCTTTTTGACAAGGAAGTCTGCTATCAATTTTGGAGCTGTGACAGAGGAGTAGCACATATCTACAAAGGAGAGATAACTGAGAAAAAAGTACATGGGAGAGCTCAGTCGGGGGCTGCTCTTGATGGTGACAACGATGAGGAGATTCCCCAACAGAATGGCAATGAAGAAGATCGAAAAGATCCCAAAGCAGATTCTTAGTAAGTCCTGGTCCTGGGTGAGTCCTAAAAAGATGAATTCTGACACATTGTTCTTCTTCTCCATGAATCACAGTCAACAATGTGTTACAATGGGGCATGTAATTATCTGCTGTTATAGAAAATAAGAAATAATTTCAGCTGAATGTTCTTTCCATATACAGCCACAAGAATTCGACACTGTGAAATCACATCTGAGAAGGCAGGTTCCCCAAGGTTAATTAGCTTCAGCCACGTGTACAGGAGTTAGCTCAGAGAGGAGATGAAACTGGCACTCAGCTTTGTTTGCAGGTTGTTTAGCTCTGCTCTTGCCATCTAAATTTGCAGGAGGCATAGTTAAAGCAGAACTATTTTAACAAGCTGGAAACAAGGCTGATCAATAACTTCCTCCTTTCTCTCTATCAATTCTTCACTATTTTTTTCATTTGGTCACTTAGTCGCCTAGTGCTTGGACAGCAAGTCTAGTGATTCAAAAACAAAAGTTTTCTGTCTTGTTTAAATAAAGTTTAAGAATGGATAATAAACAAAGCCTACATTTATCTTCAGCATCTGTACATAAATATTATGGGAATTCTGTTATTCAACACTTAGCCAATTCATTTATTCAACACTTTGTTATTTTACTAGTTCATTTTTTCTGAAATCCCTGACAACAAACTCTGCAACTTACTGTTAGCCTTCATCATTGAAACTCATATAAATAATAGAGCTATTCTACTATTTTTGGGTGCCATCAGATTATCTTGAGAAATGAACTTTTTGTGACTATTGTCAAGTTGTCCCAATAATGATTAATTATCTTATGAATGTGAAAACTTAACTGGTTCTTGAAAAGTTTTTTTAAGAAAATGTTTAATTGATTGTTGTGGGGTTTTCGGGCTCTTTGGCCGTGTTCTGAAGGTTGTTCTTCCTGACGTTTCACCAGTCTCTGTGGCCGGCATCTTCAGAGGACAGCACTCTGTCCTCTGGTGCAGCTTATTACTTAATTAATTACCCTCACAGTTACAAGCAAAAAAAGATATTACCCATATAGATGCACTTTCAAAATAACTTCTTATTTTTTGTTACTGTAAAGATACAATCTAATGTCATTGGCCCCAGCATAAGCCTGTTTGTGTAAATAATACACACAGAAAGGACAGAAGATATAGATGCACATACACATGCACACCCAAATTTTAAGGAAAAGAAAGAAAAATATAGTTACAGATACATGCACACACATACACATGAATATATATAAGCAGTATAAGTGTAGTTTTAGAAGCGGCAGCTGTATTAGTCTATGCTAGCATATCAGGCCGAAAAACAAAAGAATAAAAAGACAAATACATTGTGGCACCTTATAAACTATAATTTAATGTGAGCTAATTTATAATGTCATTCATAATTCAATAGGGATGTGGTGGTGCTGTGGGTTAAAACGCAGAAGCCTCTGTGCTGTAAGGTCAGAAGACCAGCAGTCGTAAGATCGAATCAAAGTGACGGAGTGAGTTCCCATCGCTTCTCCCAGCTCCTGCCAACCTAGCAGTTCAAAAGCATGTTAAAATGCAAGTAGATAAATAGTTACCACCACGGTGGGAAGTATAATTCAATAAGGATGTGGTGGTGCTGTGGGTTAAAACGCAGAAGCCTCTGTGCTGTAAGGTCAGAAGACCAGCAGTCGTAAGATCGAATCAAAGTGACGGAGTGAGTTCCCATCGCTTCTCCCAGCTCCTGCCAACCTAGCAGTTCAAAAGCATGTTAAAATGCAAGTAGATAAATAGTTACCACCACGGTGGGAAGGTAACAGTATTCCGTATCTAGTCGCTGTCATGATCTAGGTTATTGAAGCTAAAATGTATTTTCTAAATGGGATTTGTAGTCATGGAATGGTGTAAAAGGAATTCATCTCAGCCTGTCATTTTTCTAGAAGCATGTAGAAATTGTTTTCTTTACAGTTAGATAGGAATGTTATCATGTAGCTAGCGTGGCCAAGGTTAAGCTTGGCGAAGGCGAAGCCAAGAAGTCATAACATCATGGAAGAATGTCAACAAAATCGCAGTTCTCATGAGAAGAGGAGGTGGAGAGAGATAAGAATCCTTCGTCCTGATTGGCTTACGCCAGTGGAGAGTGAAGGAGGGGGTGTTTTCAGCATGTGAAGAAAATGACAGGATGGAACAGAGAGAGAGACTCTCTTTTTGACTCTTTTCTAACTCATTTTGGATTAATGGATTTTACCATGGATTTTTGATTTTTGAATGGGCTTTGGAGTTCCAAATGCCAAGATGTAGTTCTTAGTAGAAGAATAGAAGGGGGGGGCTAGCCTTACCTGTTTTCTAGTTAGTAGAATTTTCTTATTTTATTTTTGTAGCTGGGATTTGCTAAGATTCTAACTACCTGTAGTTATGGAAATGATTTTGAATGCTATGCTTTGCAACAAACTGAATTTATCTAAATCTTTATTTTTCTAATAAAACAATAATACTTAAGAACTTATGCTTGGTCTCTTGAACAGGTAACCTGCTACCATACTTAACTGGGTTACTTACAGGCCACAAAACTATGCTACTTTGAGTCCATTATTTTCCTGAGTTCTGAGAGTTCTAAATGTCTCTAAGACTCATGGTTATAATTTGGTTTCTTAGTGGTTTTTAATTGGGGATAGACTTGGTAGAAGGGGGCCAGATAGACAGCCTGGTTCAGACAAGGACTCATCTCAACTCAAATAGGGGTCTACTGGACCTGGAACCTCTCTATCCCAACCCTTTAGTAATCTCTTAGGAGAGCTGATAGGCTTACACGCTGGCCACGTGACCACAGAAACTGTCTTCGGACAAACGCTGGCTCTATGGCTTGGAAACAAGGATGAGCACCGTGCCCTAGAGTCGGACACAACTGGACTAAATGTCAAGCGGAACCTTTACCTTTACCTTTATAATTCAATGGATAATGGAAACATGTTATAATATCAAAAACACAGCTACATATGCTTCATCGATTATAGGAAAGCTTTTCACTGTGTTGACCATGACAAACTATGGAAAGCCCTAAAAGACTTTGGGTGCCACTACATTTGGTGAAGTTGGTGAAATCACTGTATGAAAATCAGGAAGTCTTGGTACAAACTCCCTATTGAGACACTGACTGGTTTAAGATCGAGCAAAGTGTGTGGCAAGGTTGCATCCTGTCACCTTTCTTACTCAACTTGTACACTGAAGTGATAATCAGAAACCTGGAGTTAGAAGAATCAAAAATTGGGGTAAAATTGGCGGAAGAAACATCAATAACCTTTGATATGCAGATGATACAACCCTCCTCTGAGAAACTCAGGAAGGTCTAAAGTATCTGATCATGAAATTCAAAGAAGAAAGTGGGAAGTTTGGCCTCTTTTTGATTATTAAAAATACTAAACTCATGACAACTGCAAAGAATGGAAACATCAAAATAGTAATTGCTGGAGAGGAAGTTAAATATGCAGGAGAATTCATTTATTTAAGTTCACTGGTCACTCAAAATGGCAGTTGCAGCCAAGAAAATAAAATGTTGAATCATGCTAAGTCACAAAGCAATGATGAATATGAATCAAATATGGAAAAGTAAGGACGTCAGCTTGATAACCAAATGCAGATTAGTTTGCACCATTATGTTCCCTATAACTACATATGGCTGTGAAAGCTGGACAGTGAAGAAGATGGATAGAAGAAAAATTGCATCTTTCGAGCTATTGTGTTGGAGGAGGCTCTTGTGCATTCTATTGACTTCAAATACTGTATAACAAATAAAAAAGTGCTGAAGCACATAAAACCGGACATGTCACTAGAAGGCAAAATAACAAAACTTAGACTTAGTTATTTCTGCCATGTCATGCAATCAACATCACTGGAGAAATATGTTATGCTTGGAATGGTCTGTGGTAAAAGAATAATTGAATAATTGAAGGTGAATTTATAATTTAAGATTTTGTGGACAAGTCTTTAAAGTATCATAGTGTTTCTGTCTTCTTATATCTGAACGCACTGTTATGCTTTTTTAAATTAACCTTTCGTTAATCCTCCATATATTGTACATCATGACACTGTGTCAAGACCTGCCTTGCCCAGAAACAATGCATTAAACTGTTCTCTCTTTTTTTCATTTGAAATATTACAATTAAAATGCTGGTTTGAAAATATAGCTTTGTTCTGCCTCAGAAAAACCATCTGCTTGAAGAGTGAGGATTTGTTTTGTGCAAAAGGATAAGAAAGATTTTTAAAATGTTGTTTCTTTTTTTAAAAAATAACCCAGCAGTTAGCTTTGATTATTTTGCAAATAAAGATGCCACTAAAATTTAGCTGATCTTTCTGTTCTCTTCACTGTCTACCTCTATCCCACATACAATAACTCAACTAGAGTCCAATACATACTGATCTTTGGAATAAATGCCACTGAAACCAATGCATGGGACTTTATTTCATTGAAATACTGCTAATATATAATTTTTTAAAAATGATTAGAAATTATTGTTGAAAAAGTACAGTTATGCTATAAAATCAGTGAAATTACCCCTTGTTCCAGTTTTAATGTTATTCAATTACAGTTGAGTTATTATAATACAGAAATTATTTTTTGAAAGTACTCATTATTTGTAACAAGTTATTCCTAAACTCTGGGGTTAACACGAAAATGAGACAAAACAAGATCATCAATGCATTGTCTCATTTTTACCTTAGCCTCAGAGCTTAGAAATCACATGTTAAAATCATTTATTTCTAAAATTAGTTCTGTCTTCCCCATCATTAAAAATCATCCCTCTCTTCTACAGCCAGAAGCTCTGTGTCTTTAACTAATGAAAAAACAGACATTAAACAGGGTTTTTTTGTTCCCTAGGACTTTAACTACCTGCTAAGAAATGTTACTGAAAACGAGACAATACAAGATTGTATTGAACTGGATATGGAAACACTGATTGATTCAAACTTGGGAAAGGAGTACGACAAGGCTGTATATTGTCCCCCTGCCTATTTAACTTATATGCAGAATACATCATGCAAAAGGCTGGACTTGAGGAATCCCAAACCGGAATTAAGATTGCCAGAAGAAATATCAACAACTTCCAATATGCAGATGATACCACTCTGATGCCAGAAAGTGAGGAGGAATTAAGGAACCTTGTAATGAGGGTGAAAGAGGGGAGTGCAAAAAATGGTCTGAAGCTCAACATCAAAAAAACTAAGATCATGGCCACTGGTCCCATCACCTCCCGG